CGACGGAATTTTTTTCTTCTCTAAAGTTGTCTCCTTTCATCTACTTTCCTGCTCTCTAGTAATGTTCTGTCGTCTGCTTTCGTCTCCACTTTCTACTCCCACCCTCACCTCCTTTGCGCCCTTTTCCTGGCTCATGACTCTCTCAGCTACACTCCTGATCTAAAGGTAGGAAAGATCAACATCTAGCCTTCTCGGACAAGGGCAAAAAATCGCGGAGGTCCCGAGTGCAAGATCCCTTGGTGGTCCAAAATCGATAAGAGTAGGCTTCGGCCGCCACCCAAGCAAAATTCAAAACATCCTACCAACTTTAAAATGTTTAATGTGTCCCGCGCGCTCATAAGACCTTGTACACTTGCGAGCGCCGTAAAAACCACCAAAAAAACAACAACTAAAAGAAACAAAAAAATAGAAGAGGCAAACAAGCCGTCACCGATAGCAGCAGGACTGACGACGCCACCCTCAGTTCACTGGAGCAATGTATGATCTCAGTATGAATGCTGTGCTGCACCAGGTTACTGTGTTGAGTTCTGAACTAACGCAGTTCAATTATTAAGCCAAGTCAAAGAAATCGACAGTTGTTACTCATGAAAAGTTTGCTACTTGACAGCTTGAGAGAAGAGCTACGTAGTTTTAAGTCAACGTAGTAGTCTTTTCAAATCAACATATCTTCTCCACGCATTAGCTTTTGGGGCCTTTTCATAGGCAGCATGAGAAAATAAAGAGGAAAAATTATGTGGGTAATCGGGCCGTGCTGTAATTCAGATAAAGGCCTGTAAGTAATAGATGTGGGTATGTCGCGTCACAAGAAAGCGTCAATGCATTGACAGTCTTTGTGTAAGGCAAGCGTAAAAGCCAGGAACGGCAGTCGGGCATGGTATTAGAGGCACTAAACAAACATGTATATGGATGTATAGATATATAGTATTATTATCAATGATTCTTAGATATGCCGTATTGGAATCATATCTATAGAATGAATTCATAAGAATTTGGTTACAAAACTCTGTGTGTGTATTTGTGTTTTGTGTTTTTGTACGTGTTTGAGCGTGTGTCTGTGTGTGTGTGTGTGTGCATATGTATATGTGTGTGTATGTGTGTGTGTGTGTTTGTGTGTGTGTGTTGGGGTGGGGTGGGGGTCAAAGTAAAATTGTAAATACAAAACTTGCTAATAATTTCGCGCTAAGGGAGATTTACACCAGTTTTGATATGGCACGCAAAGAGAAACACACATACACACACACATATTCACGCACACTATTACCCACGCGCGCACACACACACACACACACACACACACACACACACACACACACACGCACGCGCACACACACACACACACACACACACGCGCGCACACACGCACGCGCGTGCACACTAAAAAACACACAGGTGTCCATGATTTTACAATAATACTACAACACAGATCCTCTCTCTCACTTTCTCTTTCTCCTCCCCTTCTCTCTCTCTTCCTCTCTCTTTCCCTCTTTCTCCCCCCCCCCCCCCTCTCTCTCTCTCTCTCTCTCTAATACAATTATGTCGCTCTGAGTCTCTGAATCACAACACCACAACTGTCTCTCTTCTAAGTCATCCCTGATTCATCGGCTTCTGAAGTTTTTGGTAAGTGTTTCACGGTGCTCGCAACTGCATAGGGTCATATGAGCGCGCGGGACACATAAAACATTTACAGTTGGTAGGAAATTTTGAATTTTGCCCAGGTGGAGGCTGAAGCCTACTCTTATCGATTTTTTGACCATCAATTAATGGGATCTTGAACTTTAACGTGCGCAACTTGCTCTCGGGACCTCCCAGATTTTTTGCCCTTGTCCGAGAAGGCTAGGTGTAGATCATTCCTGCCATAAGATCAGGGGTGTGGCTGAAAGACAGCAGTAAGAAGGAACCGGGGAGTAGCAATAGAAAGGCTGCAGAAATAGTTATGAGCTCAGAGGAGTGGGGGGGGGGGGGGGCAAAGGAGATGAGTGGATGGGGCAGAAAGTGGAGACGAAAGCAGGCGACAGAACATTGCTAGAGAGCAGGAAAGGAGGTGAAAGGAGACAATTTTAGAGAAGAAAAATTCCCAAATACCCGAATTCAAACCCCGGACCCATTGAATGAGAGGCAAACACCTTAACCTTTAGGCCACGAGAACCCCCGCTTCTGAGGTGCTCAGGCCCTTCGCCACTTACACAAAAGACATGAGTAGAATTTCCTTATTTCATACAGTGGGCAATAATTCCTGAAGTATGTTCATTTTTCTTTTACAATGTTTCCCCCACAGTTCAGGTATACTTTGACAGGCCTGATCGAAGTAGCTTTCATCCTAGATAATCTCTATTGTGTGGATGGGACCGTAACAATAATATTGACACTGATTTAAAACCAATTATCACTCGGGACTTGACATAATGAGAAAAAGGTAATCCCTCACCCCTCCCTAAAAAATAAAACACCAAAAAACAACAACAACAACAAAAACATCCCAAAAAAGAAAGAAAAAAACAACAACAGAACCCGAAGTCTTTAGACCCCACCGTGACCCGCCTCTCTGTACACTTCTTCCCCTCCCACTAACAGGCACATCGCACAAAGAACTGGCTACAGAATAGGTCAGACAATCTCCTCTGGAACCATGGGTGCCCGACGGGTGCTAAAGTCAACCTCTGGGAACGCACACAACTATTTTGATCTGTCGACTCGATCGGTCCTCCGGGGCTTTGTGTAGAGCTGTTGGACCGGCCAATTAGGTCTCTACCTCCCGGTGGGATTTACAGGGAGAGTAGTACTATAAGAGATAAAGGGACTACCTAGATTTATTAACCGCGAATCGCTGGTGGAGTGATGAAACCTCGTAACCCCTGAAAGGAAAATTTTACAGGAGAGACAAAAAACTGATTTACTCTTGAATAAAATGACCTTTATGAACCAAAGTTGGTACAGATAAATGAAAACACCTTAGAAACGTGGTTAGTACATAAAAATAACTTTTCTATTATTTATGTGGTTACGCTGTGGGATGCGAGGTTTCATTACAACATTTTTGTCATGATGAAACCTCGTAGTCAGCCGGCGGGAGGGTTGCGAGGTTTCATCAGGACAGAGTTTGGGGGTTGCGAGTTTTCTCTCTGCTCATTTAGGTTACAACATGCGTCTGTTGTTTGAAACGCCACAAAGTGATAAAGATGTTTTTTCAAGACCAATTAGTTTGGAGTTTGATTCCCGGCAAACTGAAGTCAAATAAATGTGTGTTACATGCAGAATTTATGTTTGAATCCTGAAACGGATTGCAATTACTGCAATTTGTTTCACTATAATTTGCGAAGATTAAATCTGGTTACTTCCAGTTTTACTAAAGAGCACAAATGAATAATAAATCCCTGCAATGTGGTCTCTGTTTGCACTACAGATGGTTTTCATAAGAGATGTTGAATCATAATGAACAGCCAATGTTAATGGTATTAATTGTCATGAAGTGACGATGCATATTGGCAATTACAGATTTAAGCACCTGTAGGTGATTGTACTTGAAGTGCTGGAACTTAAAACGTTTTGTGTAGAGTTGTGAGGTCGGGTGGACCTTATTTCTGTGTCCTGCCTTCGGAACATCAACCCTTTCATCACTGAGGTGCAGCTTACCAAACACCTGATGTCGGTGACAACAGGATCACCCGTTTTTCTACCTTGTCTTATAGACTTGTCGTAGCTTCCACACTTAGAATATTTCTAGAAGAATGTGTGGTCCAACGATTTGTTTTGATAAGTTTCTTGTTTTGCTCTTGCCATCCTGAAGAAATGGAGGTAGTCTTGGAGGACCTCGATGCGTGTTTTTCGAAACGATCCCTTAATAGTTGAGTTCTCAATGTCAATTTCCATTTGTGTGTGTCCTTTGATAAAATGTTTTTGTTCAATCGTGCTTCAATGTGTTGTTGAAAACAGGCTGAGAGAAACATTGGCTAGTGTGGCATTTCTGTATTGGTAACCACAGTTGTCGCTGTCGATGATGGTTTTCTGGAGGTCCAGCTTTTCCTTCAGGAAATCCAATATACATGAAGCAAACTCATTTGCCATAAGTCCCCCTTCTGCTTCATGACACACGTAACAAGTAGTCTGGCGTATTGCAGCATCCAAAAGCGTAAAGTTATGAACGGCGAGTTTTGTTTTGTAATATAAGGCTGATGCTGAAGATCATTTGAAAGTACGGCCGTTTTAGGTTCATTACTGGCGAGAGATTTGATGGCTTCAGATTTATCTCGTTCCTTTTCTTTGCGCGCCGCCTCCTTTTCTGGAATGTGAGCATTCCAAAGATCCCCCCAGCACATTGTCAACTTCACGACTGATATAAAGGTGGTACATATCTATCTTTGACAGGAACAGCGACACGTTATTCTGCTTGAATCCTTCATCGAGGGCGGGTCTTTTGAGAGGCCGCCTCCCGTGGTCTTGGCAGACTTGTGCATATATTTTGTAGATATCTGAGTTACTTTGATAATTATTGGATCTAAATGTTTCTTACAAATCATTCATCCAACCCAGTTCAATTCGGGAACACATTTTAACACGCTGGCACTTTATGGCCACCTTTTAAAAGTGTTTATTGAAGGCATTCCCTCTCTGGTAAGTCTCTGAATACCTCCTCCGAGGTCCACTAGTCATCCCATGAGAGAGACCACACTAAATCAAAATTAGAATGTCTATCAACTTCAGAGAGCCCTTTATATTTCAGAGTCCAGCTCTTGCAATCACAGATTGGTTTCAATAACTTAGCTGGGCTTTTCATTGAACCAGTATGTATTCCGATCCTGTCCCGATCCACGGATAGCTTTTCGCTTATTTGTTGCCACTCCTTAAAACCCTTTCTTTTCCTCTGTGGAGCATCATTTATGCTGGCATCACAAATGAGCTGTGTCTCGGGATCAGGCTCCAGGAAAAGTGGCTAAGGTGCCTGAATATGGTCTACAGATTGTGTTGCTGCGACCTCGAAGGTAATAATTCACCATCTGACTTACAGCTGCCTGGTGAAACGTCAGTGTGGTTTGGGGTATGATTCCAGACGACACTATTGTTGGTGCAGACTCAGTCTGGGATGATGCTGATACGTCCTTGTCTCCACATATCAGGGACAGTCCTGGAAAGGACTGCGACATGGTGGCTGGGGTCAAGTCAATGAACGTGGTCTGCTCAGTGGTTTCCAAATCAGCCTTTGTAGGGTATAAAGATCTAAGTGATGAGCACAGTTAGAAGGAGATATTCAATACAGATTCGGAAATGTCCATATTACTTGTGTTGTTGAGGCACAAATTTGTCACAATATCCTCTAAAGACTTCAGAGTCATCAAGACCATGGTTAAGTTCAGTGCTATTCGGTCTCAACCACAACTGGAGGATTCGACTACACAGTGGATTCATAGTCTGAGAAGATGCGAAACCTTACCCTCTCTTTGATAAACAGATTGGACTGTTGACATCTGGAGAGTGCACAGATCTGTCACCTAGTCTAAGTAAGGACTACCGTCACCTGTCATTTCAAGGTGTGACTGTTGCCTTAACTTAAATGTCAACTACGTTTGTGCTCGATGAGAACATCTTGATTATCAGCAAGTTAGTCATCCTTATGAATAGATTTTTAATAGATTTACACAATGTAAGTACTTCACTTATGACCATATTTGAACTTTTGAACTGACTGAAATAAAGTGAATGAATAAAAGAATGAATGAATGTAAGGATGAATGAAGGAATGAAATATTTCTTTATTCTGTCAGATACATTAAATGCACTAGACAATGTCAGCTATGCGCGTTTCAATTAAGCCGGTTCATATAGAAGGCTTGTCCAGAACCTCGTATAAGCACGCCGCTCTCTCAAACCGGGAGTATGAAAAGATCGGCGCACCAGGTGAGGGTTGCGAGGTTTCATCACGCCAAGATATCATGGGGCCAAATATACGAGGTTTTCTTATTAAGTATTTTTCCTACTTTTTCTTACTAATATGACCTAGTGCTTTTGACCCATTGTGAAGAAGGACTGGGAGAAGACATTAAGCCAAAAAAACTAATTTCGAAAAAATTGAGGGTTACGAGGTTTCATGACTCCACCAGCGGAATATAGCATTTGGGTCGGGACAGCAGAGACGCTTTTTTTTAAAGGTCGGTAGTAATCAAGAGTCGCTATTACTTTGTGTCGGCCATCACTGGTTGTGACTGCAACTCTGAGATTCAACAGTTTAATAAAAGATATTTCTTTTAGAATTGTATGTTAGTATGTGTGTGAATGTGTTTCTGTGTGTGTTGGGGGGGGGTATGTGTGTGTGTGTGTGTGTGTTTATATGTGTGAGTGCATGTGTGTGTGTGTTTATGTGTGAGTGTTTATATAGAAAAAACCCAGGAGGAATGGGGAACGGAAAAGGGGG